CCGGCGGAGATTCCGGCGACTCCTCCGGCGACATCTCTGGTTGCGGCTCCGGAGATTTTTCCGGCGGCGGTTCCGGAAACGGCACCGGAGACTTCTCCGGCGGCGGCTCCGGCGGTGGCTCCGGAAGGAGTTGACATTCTCGCAAAGTTTTATCTAATTTTCGATTGTTGGAAAGTATGGGTATTGCGAGAATAAACGTGAAACCGAGTCGAGGATGGATCCTCTTTCCGAAAATTAGATATGCCTCGGTAATGCCTCCGGTGAATGACGTTCTAACCCAAAGATAAAACGGTTTCCGTCTCCAATGAGAGTGACACCTCTAATCGTTGGAGCTCCGGCGAACAAAAACAAGAGAGGAACTGAGTTGGGGAAGCTGCCGGAAAGCTAGAAGAGAGGAGAGTAGGACGAGACGATTATTAGTTGTTGGTGATTAGAATGAAGGGGGAGGCCCTTTATAAAGGCGTTTCCACTCCGCCAAATTGCAGTGGATTAATTACGATCATAATTACCACCTTAATTATCGATGTAATTAATTATAATTCAAACCTTCCGTTTGAAGCAGTCGTAATTTATTCTAATTACAAACCTTCCGTTTGTGACGATCGTAATTTATTCTAATTTCAAACCTCTCGTTTGAAACGATTGTAATTTATTTTAATTTCAAACATTCCGTTTGAGATTATAATAAATTTGTTCAACGGATAATATTTTATCCAAATAATATTGCGACTTAGGCCATATACCCGGGTTTAATTTAGAGTTGCACAATTTGGTTTGTCTTGAGACGGACAAAGTAGCCAAAATATTAACCAAATTCCATACACAATAAGTAAATAATATTTATTTATTTCTTCCAAATTAATTATATTAATTTGGTACACCGATCCGTCGCATTTTCACTCACAAAATAATCGATTGCATAATAACCGATTATCCAACATATATATAATTATATTACAATATATCCGACGTAATTTTACCGTGCGTAGCACGAGATTCACATCAGTATATATATCATATGTAATCGGAGTTGGTTAAATCAAGGCTTAAATGTGTGGAAAATTTTGTATATTTTGATATTTCGTGGTCTACTTCAATTAATTTATTCAGCAATAATAAAAATTTGATCTATTTTGTAACCCGACCCACCGGTCCAATCAAACCCTAATTTCCTTCTCATATTCCTAATCTACCCTTGTACCAATTGGGTTAAAGAATTACATAAATTATATTTAATTTTTATTTATCTGTTTATGTTCTAATCTAAAAATATTATTTTATAATTACAAAATATAGAATATTGATAATTCTTAAAATAAAATTATTTACAAATATCAGAGTTTATATTTTTAATATTTCAAATTAAAATTAATATTATTATTAATTTTTATAGTTTTAAATAAAAATATATTATTTTTTCTCACAAAACATCATATTAAAAATACTATTTAAACAAAAATTTAAATTAATATTTTATTTCAAATCAATTTAAAATCACAAGCAAACAAACCTGTTAAATTTTAGTATTTATAATATTTGTATTCGTATTTTATATTATGTTTTAATATTTGTGTATATTTGGATAAGTTAATTAATTTATGTTATGAAATATTGTAATGATGTATAATTAAAATTGGTGTAATATTATTATATTATCATAATACGAATATTTAATGTTAATATTCAATTTTTAAAATATAAAAATATATTAAAAATACCAAATATACAAAATGAAATAAATTTTGAGACCAAAATGTAATAAAAAATTCCTTTAGTTTTTTAAATGAATGGAGACAACTGGAGTTGTATCAGAGACTACATATTTGCAGAAGTATAAAATACGGAATCGACTGAAGTTGCACTTATAAATAATAAAAACATGATAAAAGAAAAAAAAAAAAACTTACAAACAAACAAACTCTTTAAATTTTAATTTAAATCAATATTAATTTATTTGTAAGATTAGAGATTATTAGATGTATTTTAGGTAGATGAGAAAACATTTTAGAATGGATAAACTATTTTTTTAGTCCCGTAACTAGATTCTTTTATATTTTAGTCTTGTAAGTGGAGTTTGTCGCAAATTAGTTTCATAAGTGAAATTTTTTTCTTGTTTTAGTTCTCCGGCGCCGGAGACGTCGGCGTGGCTCGCCGGAGACGTTGGAGTGGCTCGCCGGAGGCCACGTGTCCGCCAAATCAGCGACAAATAGCGGACACATAGATTTTATTTTTCATTTTTCATTTTTTTTAATTTATTTTAAATTTTATTTGCCTTTTTATTTTTTTTTATTTGGTCCAATAGACAAAAAAAATAAAAAAGAATGAAAAAAAAAAATCTACGGGTCCGCCAGGTGTCGCTGACTTGGCGGGACACCTGGCGGACACGTGGCTTCCGGCGAGCCATGCGGACATCTCTGGGGCCAAAGGACTAAAATAACGAACATTTTCCACTTATGGAATTGGTTTGCAATAAACTCCACTTACAGGACTAAAATGATAAAGGAGTCCAGTTACGAAAAAAAAACAGTGTACCTTTTTAGAATTATGTGCATATGATTTTATATTATTAATCGTATTAGTAAAATTAATAATAAATTAATCTATTTGCAATTGAAATTTCTTCACACGTTTTGATTGGGTAAAATTAGTCATAAGAGTTTCGTGGATTGACACACTACTCTTAATTATTTCAATAATGAATCATTTAATTTGATGGCTTATCAGTGAAGAATATATTATTAATGAAAATATCTTTCACCAATAATTTATCGATCACTCATGTGAATGTTTGAATATATACCACCATTTTTATACGTGTGTATTATTTTCTTTTTCATTTTTTTTTATTAAAGAACTTGAAGAGGGCCAACATATCATATCAAATACTTAAGATATGTTCATTTGTATTTTTAAATGAATATGTTTTTTTTTTTTTTATGTTAATATAGAAAATTATGTCGATAATTAAAAAATAATAATATTTTGTATTGAATTGTTGACTTTTTATAAAAATAAAATATATATTATATATATTGTATTAATATATATTATATATTAATATTTTTTAATATTTATGAAAAAATTGTGCCACCAAAAAAATTATTGAGTGAACAAACCCCTATATATTTTCTTTATTATTATTTTAAAAATATTTTAAAACTTCAAAATTTTTATACAAAGGTTGCCAAAGTTCTAGTTCTTATGATGTCAATTTTATTTTGGCATTTGTTGCGAAAATCAAGAAAAACAAATATAAATACAAGAATTTAGGGTTTTTTTTTTTTTCTAAAAAAAAAGTAAAAACACACCATTAAGTTTCTATAATAAGTATATTTCTTTTACAAATATTACATTCAAACCTATATTAAAAAATACTAACTAAATACACAAATTGTGTGTGTTTTTTATACAATTTTTCAATACATTTTTTCAAAAAAATTAATATATTACATAGACTCATTAATTAATTTTATATTATCAACATAATTTTAAATAAAACTATATCTCTTCAAACAAAAAAAAAACAAATCAAACACACAGGGACGGGGCAGCAACCTATCAATCTATTGGTTTTAAGATATAGGACAAGAAATATAAGAAGATTAAAAACAAGGAAAAAATATATATAGTACATCCAGATATAAACATTTGTATTAATTTATTATACTTCGTTCGTTTCAATACAATAGTCTTGTTTACCATTTTTGTCCGTTCCAAAACAATGGTCTCCATTTCTATAAATAACCATATCACTATAAAATTACCCTTACTTTTTCATTATTATTACACAATTGCCACTACTTTTTACACTAATACACTCACAAGGGCAAAAAAATCTTTTACCCGTACTTTTTACCGACTATTAATATAATATAAATATTCTTTAAATCTTGTGCCAAATACACCCCAGACTATAGTTCTGGAACGGAGGGACTAACATTTTTTATTATGGCTTGGTTTGATTACGTAGGCGTACACAGTGACTAATTTGCAGATATTTAATAATAGGGTGTGTTCGTTTGATGGATTTTGACAAAATTCTACTATTCATCCAAAAAATTTTTCCCAAAAACATCAAATCAAATACCTGTTTTTTATTTTTTTATATTATACTAAAAATTAATTTTACATTAAAAATATCACATCAACACCTGTTTATATCACATCATACAACTATTCAAATTCAAAATTTTTACTATTCAAATCCCAAGTCAAAATCCAAACCCCCAAATAAACACACCCAATATAATGTACCCAATACAATACAATATCTATCGTTTTCAAATGGTTCACACACAATTGATAAATTAATCATACACGCAATTTCATTATTCAACATTATATTATTATTATTATTATTATTAGGACAAATCACAACTTGTCTGGCCCCATATATACTAAATATATATATATAGCTTTTGTTAGAGATCAAAGTGTTGATAGAGAGATTAATCGACACGATACTCTATGCTGATTAGCTTCAATAGTACATAAAAATATAGTAATATATATATATATATATATATATATATAAAGAAAAAAGACAACATATTATATATATAGAGTGTCTATATGTTCTATCAATTTTATTCTATATGTTGTTGTGTTAATAAATTTGTGTGTTCAAATCAATTATCAATACTATGCGGATTAAATATAATCAATACATTGACAATTCATATATTTTCTCCGTCTCATATCTATTTATCCATTTACTTTTTACACCGAATTTTAGGAATATTAATATTATATTGGGATGTTGTAGAAATAAAGGTGAAAAGACTAAAATTATTCTTATTAATATTGTATGATATAAAGGTAATGATATTTGTGTAATATATTGTAAATTGGAAGAGTATTCGTAATATTAGGTAGATAGTACAGTTACTGAAAAAGAAAATGAATACTTTGTTAATGAAAATAAAAAAAATAGATAAATTTTTAAGGGATGGAGACAATATTATTTATATTTATATACATTATTAAACCAAATTAGTAATGCAAATTCTTTAATTTATTGTTCCTCACAACCAAACAACAACGAATCAATAATACAATACAAACTCCTATGTTGTCACAATAAAAGTAAAAGGAATCTTTACAATGACTATATTTATAAACAATAGCAATGAATTTCATCCTAAGCATTTTTAATGAAGAAAAACAAATAAAGGAAATACCTTAACCTTACTTTGGAAGTGTCTTGATCCTTGTAGTATAGAATCCAACTGTCTAAAACTCCATCGGATCCTCTATCCCATTAATAAATTTTATCCCCTTATTCCCACATACATAATATGTATATATACACATATGTGTATGTATAGTATATATATACACACTATGTGTATGAGGATAGGGTGTGTTAATGGGACAGATGATTTACTTTGGTCTAAGACCCAAGTTTTACCTTATTCATTTTTCAATATCAATAATGTCATCGGAGCCGCCACTCGGCATCCGCCGGAAGGAAGCGGCGGTGGCGGCCGACAAACCCTTGAAGCTACTGTTGCTGCTACCCTCGCTGAAGGAATTCCAAGAATTCCTCGGCTCAGCTACGGCAATTCTTACAATGGTCCTCCGGCAGAAGGGGCAGACGGGCTCGGGATAGGATGCCGGCTTGGGTTTGTTATGACAGCACACGGCGAGCGTGCATTGGGCGCACATGCGGTGGCCGCACCCGCCAACCTCGATCGTGCACGTTTGGTCGAAACATATGCAGCACAAGTCGGCGTCGTTCGCCTGAGATGTAAGAAACCACTATTGGTGCATTGGTACAGAGAAATACGAGTAGATAATGAAATTGGAGAGAAAATGAATTAGGTAGAGAATTAATTAAAATAGATAAACTCAGTTGAGAAATATGAAAAAATGAATGAATTGGACAAGAATAAATAATTAATCTCACAAAATAGAGTTTTAGCGAGTGAGAATTTATAAAAAATATTTTTAGTGAGTTTTTTTTTTAAAAAAAATTATAAATTATATACAATGTTTCGTAAAATCATATTTTAGTATAATTTTTTAAAAAAACTCGTAAAAATTAAATACTTGAATAATAAATTAAATGTAATTTTGTAAAACTGAAATAATATAATTTAAAAAATTATAAAAATTAAATATTTAAAAAAGGATAAAATAAATTAAAAAATATATATATACTACAAAATCATTTCTCTCAATTTCTCTGGTTATAGGAGAGAAATGAAAACAGAAAATAGAAATGATTTATTTCTTTTCCATTTGTCTATTCAAATAAACAAGAGAAATAGAAACATTTTCATTTCTCTACTGTCAATTCCCTGTACCAAACACACCGTAGTTCTCAGAATTTAAGGTACTGAAATTGGTTAATTCGATACCTCGGACATATTGTCGTCGGATGGCGACGGAGACGGCATCGAGTAGGATGTTTTCTTAAAAATGGCCTTTTCTCGCTCCCGGTTCGCCTCCATTAATGCCTTTTCGAGTAAGGCTTTCGCCTCCTGGTTGAGCTCGGTCATGAATTTCAACGGCGACGGCCACACGAGTGGCTCGGACGACGATGGATTTAGTAGAGCCGCGCACGCCCCGTTGCGATGTCTTAACGCAATTGCATATGGAATTCTCCTGAACCATGTAAATCAATATTTTTTTATTTTTTTTATTTTTACATTCGAATAATATTCCTTGATTGAAAGGATAGCAAAACTATTTACCCCGATGCGTCTTGTTGGCGCCGATCGGCGCCCCAAGCGAGCAATTCCCGAACACAATCGAGACAACCTCCCTTCGCCGCCATGTGCAGGGGAGTACTATTCGATAACCTACCTCAATGTAACAAAACAAAACAAACCACAAGGTCAAATATTATGTAATTAGAGTCGGCTAATAGTAGGAGCAACATGAGCAATTGTTCAGGGCTTCTGCTTGAAGATGATCCATATTTTAAAATTTTATCTCATATTTTTCATTATAATTACCAAACTAATTCTTATTCTAAAATTAAAATTCCTAGTTATTATTATTGGTGTTATTATTATTGAGTTAGTATATTTCATTTATTGGATATATTATTAATATAATTTTTACTTTTGTGTGGTTTTTTTTTTTTTTTTTAATTATTTGTAGTTTATAATATTTTGAAAAAAAATTAATCAGGCCTAGTATTTAATTTTGCCCAGGATCCTGAAAAATTTCAAGACGACCTTGGATGTAATAAAAGTTCGAACTCATAAATTGGACCTTATTAGACCTGTATCCATACCCATATCCGTATCCGTGTGTGGAAGCGCAGACGAGGCCTCCGCTGTCCAGCAATATATGAACACAACGCGCCCGCCTTTGCCGGGCAGCCAAGTGCAGCGGCGTCGCGCCTTTCCGATCTCTGACATTCACAAACCGAGGGAATCCCCTGTATGTAATAAATCAGATTGAATCAACAATTAAAAACATACAATATCAACAACTTATGACAATGATTCATACAATACAATAACTATAATAACTATGTGTTGTGTATATTGTTACAATATACTGATTAACCATAATCAGCATCATAACTAATCATGCATTTTTACACTATTGATAGGGTTCGGACAAGATCGAGTACCAGGAAGATGAGACAGAGGAGGTCTGGGCGGCGGCGAGCAAGGCGAGAAGGCAGTCGGAGTGGCCGTAGTAGGCGGCGTAGTGTAAACACGTCCTTCCGTTCACACCCTCGAACATTAGAATCTGATGATTCCATATATATATATATATATATATAGTATTATGGCGACAAGGTAATAAAGGTAAAAAGAAATTCAGACAACATAGATATAGATATACGTACGTTGGCGCCTGCTTCGATTAGCTTGTCCAAACACGACAGCTTCCCATGCATTGCAGCCAACATCAATGGAGTCTATTGCCATTAATTTATTAATTCAGCAACCAATTATATATTCAAGCTTAAAATTGCGAGAGACTGGATATTTTTTGAGATCGGACAAACCTGCTTGTATCGATTCAGAACATCAACGTTCACACATCGCTCCAAAAGGATCGAAAGCATCTGCAATTTATAATTAAATTTCAGATTTTTTGAAAATTAAATTTCAAAGAGCAAATATAAAAAAAAAAAAAAAAAAAAAACTGTAAATTGTAAGAAATTGGACCTCGATCTGGCCATTGGCGGCGGCGATATGCAAAAGTGAGTGGCGGTGGTAGACGGTGGTGCGGCGAATCAGAGAGGAGTCTTTCAATAGAGCCGCCGCGACGGCATCGGAATCTCCCCGCTGGACGGCGGCGAACAGGCCGTGCTCGTCGGCGGCGCCGCAGCTGAGGGCCTGACCCATAGATATCCGGGCAGGGCAGGCGCAGGGGAGATATTTTTTGAGGGCAGCGGGCAGGAATAAATCAGTCCATGGGAGAATTGAAGACGAGTGACGTATGAATTGATATTTGATTGTTAAAAATATGACGACTGACTGAAAAATGGTTGTTGGAGCATAAAAATCAGCACCAAAATGGGAGGGAACATATATCTATGTATCTATACTTTAGAGAGAGAGAGAGAGAGAGCGAGAGAGAGAGAGGATGAAGTGAGTGGGTCAGTAGTCAGTCGGTCAGTCAGTCACTGAAATTATTGGTCCAAATAATTCGACGCTTTCATTACATCATCACCTAAACCGTTAGTTCAAGAATTTCGTGCATTTTTTTCTTTGTTTTTAATAACACATTTTTTTTTTCTCCACTTAAATTATGTTACTCACTCCCTCCGGTGAAAGCTTGGCATTTGCTTTTTTTTGTACGTATATTTTTAAATATTAGTATTATATTGGATTGTAATAAAAAATACAAAAATATCCTTATTAGTATAGTGTAATATAAAAGCAATGACATTTGTGTAATATATTGTAAGTTGGAAGAGTTGTTAGGTAAGTAATACAATTACTAAATTAGGAAATGATAATCTTATTTTGGGACGGACGAAAATGGAAAATGACAATAATCCAATGGGACGGAGGGAGTATTATTTTTATTTATTGTAAATAATCTTATTATTTTTATTTTTAATAAACAATGGGTGTGTTTACTTATTGGTATATGATACTCCGTCCGTCCCAAAGATATAGTCTTATTGTGTTGACCACGAGATTTAAGAAATGTTGATATTATATTGGTAATTGGTAAAAAATAAAGATAAATGATTTTTTTGCTCTTGTGAGTATATTAGTGTAAAAAGTAACGACAATTGTGTAATAATGATGAAAAAGTAGAGATAGTTTTATGGTAATATGATTATTTATAAAAATGAGATTATTGTTTTGGGACGGACAAAAATGGTAAACAAGACTATTGTATTAAGACGGAGGGAATATTTGTTTTTACTATTCTTAATTTTTTCTTCTCAAAACAAATATCAATCAAACACCTATTTATTATATTACACTAAAATTAAATTTTACATTCAAAATATCACATCAATACATATTTATATACATCAAACAACTATTTCAACTCAAAATTTTATTATTCAAAATTAAAACTCAAAACCAAAGTTTTACAAATAAACAAACCTATTATTTTTAATCAATTTTATAATAAACTTTTTTTTATAGTACATCTAATTTATTTTTTACATACTTATTTTAACATTGTATTATTTAGAATTTCTTCCAACCAAGCTTAGAACACAAACAACGGTCAGACCTCCATTTAATCATCTCCGCCGCCGTGCAGGGACGAAACTACACTAGGGCTTGAGGGTAATTTTGTATGATTTTGTAAGTGTTAAAAATATTAATTGTTATGTATTTATATACAATTTGCCCATCCAAAATTATCCAAATTTATATTTAATTATGTCATTATTTTTTATTTAAATTTATTAGTTAAATATTAAATAAATTATAATATTTTGTCCCCCGGAATTTAGATGCTAGTTTCATCATTGTCGACGTATCAAGGGTTTTCCAACGTGTCAGGGTGTTTTGACACTGGACGATAAATGAATCTCCATAGTGGTCTTCCAAATAATTATAAAGAAAAACCTTCGTCAAAACCATCTCCTTCGTTATTAAAATCAAACCTCATCTCAATCCATTTTACCAAAACTCCCCCACAAGCCCTAGGGAACGGGACATCGGCGTCGGATAAGGTTCACATAATCGACCGCGCGTCACTATTTCCGATTTGTATAATGTTTTCCTAGTTCCTATTTCCTTTCTTCATGTACAAATAAGAAATCAAACCCCTTCCCAACTGAAGAACCCTAACAACAAAGCGCATGTTGAAAATTTTGACCGTTCGAGGTCTAATCCAATGACTCCCTCGGTAAATAAAATTAATCGGCCCATTCTTTAACCCGACTCATCGGACTGTCCCAATCCTCTTTTACCCAAATCCAATTCTATCTTCCCAAAACCAAACCCAGACCTTTTAATCCCAAGCCATATCCTATGCCTATCATATCAGTTAGTTTGTAGCTTTAGATATATAAAGAGAGTAGATTGAAAAAAAGTTTCAGCTATTGATCTAGCCTTTTGTCGATACTATTAGTCTTGTCGCTCCGGTCTTACGGTTTTTAATTAGTAGCTAAACAGGAGGGAGACAGCGCCCGACGCCTGGAAAGATTTTTAGGCCAATCCAATAATTTCGAGATTGGAGTGGTGAGTCAGTTTTTCTTCAAGAGAGGTACACCAAAACCGTCGATAGAGACAAAGAGAGAGTGAGAAGATAGGGGGAGAAGCCAGCCAGTTTTTCCGATAGGTTTCAGGTGAGATTAGAAATCTTTCCGATGGCCGATTCCCATTGCACGCGTGTCGCAAAGCTGCAAAATAAAGTATCAGTTCGTACACCACAAAAAATGCGCAAAATGCAGTAGTTCGGTGAGTAGGGTCGTCTCTGCAGGGAATAGTAACAATATTGAATATTCGGTTATTTATAATTATACTATATATATAATGGGGGGGTTTGATTTATCACACTAAATTAGGAGAAAATAAATTCGCTCAACTAAATAAAAAAATAAAATGCAAGGCGGATTACCAAAGATGATTAAACTCTAGTATATGCATGAATTTTTTGTTTGGGATATAAATTTTGCTCATCGACTTAAAATCAAGTTCATTGACTAGTTGGATAAATTGGTTATAGTTGATCTACACGCGTTCAAAACCAACATTTCCTAACTTTGTCGATAGCTAAGGTACGGCCGTTAGCTATTTCCCTAATCGAGTAAAAATCCTAGATACGACCGTAGTTTTACTGATTCGACAATTTTACATACTAGAAAGGCCCAATTCAATTTTAAAAAATTCCTACGCGGATTTGTTTAAAGTTGATTCTAATTCTTCCTTAGAGTATTCCTCTAGGTTGCTACACCAATTGAAAAATTACACAATTACGGGTGTTAATCTTACGAAATCTCAAATCACTACGTGGGCAATAATCAATTTAAGATTTCTAAACTTATAAAGTAGAAGAATTAGAAATACCCAATATCGATGAACACCCAATTAAACAAAACTAATTATCACAAATTCAATCCCAAACATCAATTCACACCTACGCTAGAAATGAAATTACTCGGAATTCATAGAAATTGAAAACACAAAAAAAAATAAAGAAGTTCATCATGCCTTCAAATTTTGAAATCGAAAAAGAAGAACAATACGAAAATGGAAGAAGAACGCCCCGAAAAGTTGTATGCAATCCTCCTCTAAGTTCTCCTCTCTTTCGTGCTCTTCTTTCTCCCTTCTCCCTTTAAGAAAAATATGTCGTGGTAGAACGTGGTAGTCCTTTTCTCTTCCCCTATTCAATTACAAATCGTCTTTTGATTCTCCATCCCAAAATCCCTTTTAAATAGATCCTCTTTGCAATTAAATCCTCACATAATCTTTATATTGTCAATTTACCCTGGAGGGTCTTTTTGTAAATTTCATATTTCCCACATTGTGTTGCGTGATCACGCCTAAAGCCTTCGTGCGTTCTGCTCATTATCTCCCAAATACACCCAAAACTTGCCAACTCTTTAAAACCTATTATGCAATAAAAAAACATACCATGATGAGCATATATACGAAATTTCGTATCCTAAAAGTCGCCCAAAACATAATAAAATATCATTATATACAACACATATCACCCGTAGGTGTCAAGGTTTAACGTGATGCTCCAACCTCCATTTTGCAACATGATTACCTCGGGCCATTCTCGCACAATGGACTGAGCCGAAATCCATCGTCCCTTCATCGGTGAAAGATTGAGGAAGATCGAAGAAAAATTGGGATTGTTCAAAGTTGGGTTTGTCGGAGGAGCTGCCGGTTGCCGGAATGACTGTTGTCGCTGCCGCAGTCCGTTTGGAGAAGAAGAGTGTTGTGGTTGATGTGGTCACAGTCGGAGGCCTCGATGCTGTTCGGAGGTGTCCCAGTGAAGATGCAGTCGAAGCTGTTGGACGCCGTCTCCAGCGCCGGAGGACTAAAACAACGAAAATTTTTCACTTATGGGACTAGTTTGCGACAGGCTCCACTTACGGGACTAAAATGATAAGGGGATCCAGTTACGGGACTAAAAAAACAGTTTACCCAATATTTTATAATACTACCTTCCTCCCATAAAATCAGTATCATTTGTCTTTTACGTTATTATATTTAACATTAAAAATATTTTTATATTTGTATAATTTACTCTACAAATTTCATTGTATTTGTATTATAAGAGACTAATAGATGTATTTTTGTTATTTTCTCTTGATTTGTACTACGTATTTGATATAATAATTGATATTCAAAGATCAATACACAAAAAACCCATGGTACTCTTCTTATGAGACAAGGGTAGTATAATATTATAAATCTAAACTAAATTCTAATAATTATTCTACCCCCCTTCATTTTCAATTTCTCACTTATTTAGGAAACATTTGAATCACTGCTCAATTATCTTAATTATCCAAATTAAGTTTGTCTTTATCCATATACAAATTTGGACTGGATTGAGACTGTTTGACCCGGCTCATCTACTCCTCCGAGTTGGGTTGCTAATCACATCTGGAGGCCCAAAAATACTTAGGAGTAACACAACTATGATGAAAAAAAATTCAATATTACTAGCAATATTTATTAGTTATATCGTAATCAAATACTAGAATATTTTAGTTCTTTCAAGCATTTTGATTTCAATATTCAACGCAAGTAAAATCCACATTATACCGTATGTCTTATAAATTTTTGTTATCCTTATAATGAAATAACCATTAATCTGATGGAAAAGTTTCATTGCTAATGCACTCGGCATATCTCAAATCCATATGTCCTATAGCGATTTATATGATAAAACCACATTATTAACATACATGGATCCATCGAGTTTCTTGATGCGGAATTGAGAACTCGAACAGTTGGTATAACGGCATTCCTCAACTAAATCGTCTAATAGGTCCTTCGTAATATGTTCCAATTGAGAGAATAGAGAACAATGATTGATTTAGTGTATTGGGGACCATAACCGAATGTCCTTTATATAGTGATCAATAGACCACCCATACTCACCTAATTGATACGTTATT